GGGTGACAAAGAACTTCTCGATGGCCTTGGGTACCGGCAGAAACTTCAAGAAGTGGATAAAGCTATCCTGGTCAATGCAGAATTCTTGAAGCTGATTGTTGCAAACCCCGAGATCTTCGGCCATGATCTCGACTCTCCTAAAGTTGTAGATGAGGACAAGGCTGGCTGTGGGGCTTTGCACGACAATTCGCATGGTTTGTACTTGTACGAGAAAGAATCTGATTTGTGCCTAACAATATCAATGCTATACAGATGACGTGCATTCACATTCTCATAGTCACCCGCATCACCACCATAGTCACTCGCACAACCATGCAAATGCCACCCCAGATCTCAGAACTGCCAGTAAGCATCAGCGAAAGTATAAACCCACGGACTTCGACATGGACAAGTTGCGAAGCACTCTGAAGCAATTCGTGCGAGACTGGAGTCAAGAGGTAAACAAACAACTCCACCCCTTCTCAATGTATGTAACTTTGGCTTGCATCACAGGGAAAAGAGGAACGGGAAACATGTTATACGCCAATGAAAGATGCGCTCGTTGCGCATTTCTCAGATAAACCATTCCCGGAGTCAAGGTTAGCTCAGGTTCTAAAATTTCCTCTTGACGACGTAGATGTATCAATTCAACAGGCAAAATATCCGGGTGCTTGTTCCTGGTGCAGGCCTTGGCCGGTTGGCTTATGATGTTGCGAATTTAGGTTTGTGGAGTTCACGTATCTCTCTCCTGAATTCGACTGAGTCAGTTCGCTAGGATTCGCTTGTCAGGGAAATGAATTCTCTCACTACATGCTTCTGGCATCTTATCTTATTTTAAACAGGTAAGAAAAGCAGGGGTCTGGGTGTGCTGCTGAACATTCGATCTTCGGTCCAGGACTGACGCAATTGAACAATACACTATATACCCTTACATCCATTCTTTCTCCAACCTTCCTGACCGTAAAGCGATGCTGCGCCCAGTGAAAATACCCGATGTCCTTCCCTCAGCCCTACCTACTGGCTCGAATTTCTCCTTGGTTGCGGGTATGATTATTGACAGGTCCTTTGAGTATCGTGGCTTCTCAACGTTTCAGGCGATTTCGAGGAGATTTATGGAGCAGAATACGAAGAAGGCGATTTCGAACCACAGGCGGGGCAATGGGACGCTGTTTTGACATGTTTCTTCATTGACACTGTGCGGATTTTTGTTCCTGTTCAGGTGTATTCCATCCTAATGAAGCTGCTTCAGGCAAAGAATATCATCAACTACCTTCGTATAATTCACCGGATATTAACACCTGGTGGAGTGTGGGTTAACATAGGTGAGGGCAGTCGCTTTGTCCCAGCTCTCCTGCTGACTACATTTCAGGCCCGCTGCTCTGGCACTTCGAAAATAATGCAACCAATGATCCATCCATCGAACTTGATCTCGAAGAAGTCAAAATGTTGGCTCGAAAAATTGGCTTCGTGATATCTGTAAGTCTATATCGCATTCCGCAGTGTTAATCTGACGAGGACAATCAGAATGAGCGAACGATAGACACGACTTACACGAGTAATGCCCAGTCTATGCTGGGATACGTTTATAAAACTGCTTTCTGGACGGCGACGAAAGCTTAATGATAGATGCACTATGAGCTTCTCTCGTTTGTTGAATGACACGCATCACTATGGTGCAGCCTTATGTGCGGCAGGTAGAATGGTAGCAACTTCGGTTGATGTCGGATTCAAATGACGTGCGTGTATATCATCTGTGAGATAGATACCATATCACTGCGTGCCCATCACGCATCCCCCCGCCCTGTTTTGATATCTTGCTGCATCCTCATCTCTCGCTTTTGATTCCTCATTTTCTGGCTCTCTCGGATCCCAAAACCATCCTGAAAGATCCCCTGGACCTCCTCGAGGCTCAACCCAGCAATCTCAGGGAAGCAGAACAAGCAAAACAGCCATCCCAACAGGCACAGCCCTGCGTAGAACCCGAATGCGCCGGCGGGGGTAATTTTCGCCATGAGAGAGAGGTATGTAGAGCCGATGAGAAGGTTGCTAGCCCAGTTTGTCGCAGTCGAGAGCGATGTGCCGATACCGCGGACTGCACGAAACGTCAGTGCTGAGCTCACAGGCAGGAGAAATAATGATGCGACCTTCGAGTCCGAAGAGTTCACCTTGCTGCCACGGGACGTTTCCTAAGCCCGTTGCATACGATGCGACGAAGATGATCATCGAGAGAAGGACAATCGCTGACCATGATCTGGAGTAAGACACGCCATTGACTAGATCGCCACCCGTATGCAGTGTCATATCTACCAAGTCCAAGTCCGTCATCTGACCCATCGTGCGATGAATGGAAAACTTACAGTAGAACGCGATGCTGGCAAGGGTGAGGCCAAAAACCATGCCCGGTGCAGAGAACACCATAATCCTCCGTCGTCCCACGATATCAATATACTTCAACGCAAAAAGTGTGAAGATGAAATTTGTCCCACTGACAATGAGTCCAACCGCCGTAGGCTGGTCGAACCCAATCTCCTGGAAGAGTGATGCAGAGTAGTACATGAGTGTATTGAATCCACAGAGTTGTTGGAACGCTTGCATGCCGCATCCGATGACTTTGCAACGTGAGTACAACAAGACTGTGTAAGCAATGGGTATGTCTTACTCAGTGCTCTACGATTTACGGGAACAGTGATCATGGACTTAAAGCGCTCAAAGAAGGTTGTGGAATTTGCGATATCGATACTCTGCTGTACCGATGCTCGGAGAACCTGGAGCTATGAGGTGGTTAAGACTATTTGCCAGTGCTCGACCGACCAACGCTAAGAATACCTGTAAATCAATCTGTTCAGCCGTGGCTTGCGAGTAGACACGTTCCAACACTCTGTGCGCAGCCTCTATATTGCCCTTCCGGATAAGTATCCTTGCTGCAAAACAAAGGTCATTGTTAGCCATCCCTCGACAAATGACGTTATACAATCACAGAGTAAAGAAACTCACGACTCTCCGGTAAGAACGCCAAAAATATCAATTGAATACCAGCTGGGACGGTACCAAGTCCAACCATCCACCTCCAACCACCACTCACATTTGAAAAGCCTGCATCGATTCCATATGCAACTACCTGCCCAAAGGTGATCATTACAACGTTCAAAACAACCATGCGCCCGCGCAGGCGTGTAGGTGACAGCTCTTGTATATACAGAGGTGCGATGCAGGATGCAAGACCCACGCCGATACCGATGAGGAGCCGGCAACCAATCTAGCAACGTTCGGTTCAAGCTGGTGGTCAGCGTGTGGCAAATAAAACAATGAGGGCACATGGAGAAGTAAGCGTACCATACTCCAAACCGTATGGCAGACTGCCTGTCCGAGAGCTCCGCCGATGAAGATGATGTCTGCGATGCCAAGGACGGGTCGACGGCCCGTCCAGTCTGATATAGCACCAGCAGCAAGGCCCCCGAGTAATGCGCCCAATGTGGTGGCGGACGTGATGAATTCCTAGAATGACGTGGTCAGTGATCATAAGTGCATGGAATTGGGTCTTGGATATCTAGAGTCCGGCTCACCTTCTGCCCGTCTGATAATTGAGCCGGCCCAAGATCCCCGTTGATGGTAACTAGAGTACCGGAGATTACACCAGTATCATAACCTGTTGATACATCGTATGGTCAGTCGCTCACCGTCTTAAAAGTGAAGCATACGGCCCATACCAAACAACAACCCAGATATTGTACAACAAGCCACAAGAAGCCAGACAAACCAAGTCGTGTGTTTCTCGACCTCTGCTACAGCTGCGTATTGCGAAACATCCCCGGCAGCGTTTCCTTGAACTTCATACGACTCAGCTGTCGTTTGGCACTTCTCGTTAAAAGAAGACTGGGTCATAATGAAGGCGTCAACGAGTCCGCTGACCACAACTTTGTTTCTGAAACGCGTTCTTATACCTGCTCAGACGCCTGGTGGAGTTGGATATAATTCGGAACATCGATCGTGGGGTTTCTACAGCTGGTTACAATTTTCTGGTATTATAGACCACGTGGAGATACTGGTCCGGGCCGGTGATTATCATGGGGTAACACTGACATTCAAGGACAGCCCAAATACGTAGTACTGGATTACTTACTGGTGAGTCCGAGACTGTGCCCGGGGTGCTCAAAACTTGTGTCGAGAAATGATAGGATATGAACAGTTTTTAAAGTAGAATGATGAGGAACGTGTCGCATGCAGCATGCGATCCCCACGAGACGAGCCTACCACTGCGTCTCAGCGAGTCGGACATTGAGTGGGACCGCGACATAGTACGGATCCATCGGGATTCGGCAGGTACAATACGTACTCCCTTGGTCTTCGGAGACGCCTGCAGATAGAAGGAACGTCTATATATAGCGACTTCTGGACATTGAGCTTGACATACTCAAGAAACTTCATCGCTGATCATATCAAAATCCACATTCATTTCTGTAACAGGAGCTACTGGTGGGTTCTCTCAGTCGAAATTTGACTCAGTTGACTACTAATCGCAAGCTGCATTACCGGATATGCTGTGTCTGCATTGCTATCCCACCCTAGATCTGATACATTCCAAATAACTGCACTTATTCGCTCCCCTGACTTGGGGAAGGTCGCGCTGTACAATAGTGTCGGCGTCACAGTTGGCACCAATAGCGATTTTCATAATCTCAGGCTGACCGTCATCGCTTGCCAGCAAAGCGGACGTGGTCTTACTAGCCTGCATCTGTATTGAACCTCGAACTCCTGACTGATTGTCGGATACTATATGGGCTAATGCTGATGACTTTTATACAGCCAGAGTGATCCTCTTGGGACCGAAAAGAGACCATGAACATGCCATATTATACAGTCCCCATTCTTATTCACACGGCATGTGTATTGGCCTATACCATTCCCCCGTTACCTTCAAGAAGTGACACTAATCTTTCTCTACGTAGTCTGGAACTGGTGTCTTGATAGACGAATGCGGGAACTGCGCTACGGCTGAAATTTACTCTGACCTAGACATCCCAATGATCGAGTCGTTACCCAGGACGCAAGCGCATCGTGAAGTTGACCTCGAAGTCGTTGATGCTGATAAAGAAGGTGATTCTTAATGCTTTTCCTGTCTATCATCATTGTTCATGTCTCATGACAAACACTTGGGAATACGAACAGTTTACGTGCGGACATATGTCGCTTTGCCTTGGACGATGCATGGCGTTGTGAATACACCATTAATTTCACTTGGCGTCCAGAACTGTACTCCAAGCAAATTCCCGGTCTCGTTAAAGCCAGCCTTAACAGAAAGCAGGGTGGTGTTATCGAAGAAGGGCTGAATCTATGGCCTAGTATTCATATCGATGGAGTAGAAACGCTGTACACCTCCGTTTTTGATGCTGCGAGGAAGGGACTAGGTGATACAGGCCATGAATGTGAGGGCTATGATTTGGGCGAAAATGGAGAGCACCAGGTGGGTGCAGTATCTGAGGTCTTAGTGGAACTGTTTGCATGATATGAAACGAGAGAAAATTCTTGAGCCCACCGCCTTCATGGACGAAGAGCTGCAGGATCATTTCGGGGTATGTTCTTCAATCATGTCCGAAGCTCATCTGTGATTTTACTTGCAACTCAACTATTGATAGGGACATACTATCAAAAGCCCTTGGGCGAGTCTCAAGCCAGAGATCAAAGTAATGGTGGAGAGGTAAAACGCCTTAGTCGATTCAATAAGGTTGAAAGGTTGAGCTGCAGCAGTGGTAAAGGACCATGATACTTTTCTTTCAAGCTTGAAACTGATATCTTGGCATAGTTGGACTACTGTATGCCTTGCAACACCCCATGCACGAATAGAGCCTAAGTTCCGACAGAAAGTCGTAGACACAAACTAAGCCACGAAACAGTGCTTCTCCTTCGCACGGCTTAAAGCTTCGCTCTCGGTAGTTGGATTACGTCCATAATAGCTTCTGGACACTCGTAGGAAATGCAGTGACCGATGCCCGGAAGATATCTGACATTCAGTCTCTCGACGTCACGAGGGATGTGCTCCAGATGACAAACAGCGCCGGCCTTCGGATCTGACACCAGCACAGTGATCTTCACGTGAGGGGGGATGTTTTTGAACAGGCCGCTGAAAGACCACGGCCTGTTATGCTATTCACAACAACAGCAGAAGTGTCAGCAACATTCGGCATGTCCACAGTTGCAATATTACCGAGAAGACTCCCTCAATGGTGGTGCGGTCGCACATTGAAACTCCTAGTGCGTGTAACACGCAGTCACGTCGTGACCAACCAAGATCATTAACCAGCTCCTCGGCGGTTTTGACATTCGTAACTGCATTTAGAAACCAAATTTTATCCATTTCGATTGTCCCCTCCATTTCAAGGGGGGGATCGAGGAGTATGACAGTGACTTCTTTCGTTTTGGGCAAAAATTGCAAGAGCGAAAGGGCAACTGTGCCTCCAAGAGAACGACCTATAACCACGTTGTAGGACATGTCATTGATGAAGTATAGTCGGAGGTCCTCTGCAAGGGCAGACATGCGGAAGTCGGTGCCTCGTCTCCATGCATGCCCAAGGAGATTCGGCGCCATGACGAAGAACCCTGTGAGAGCCTGTTGAAAACAGAGCATGATTGTCATAGTATCACAAAACCTGACCTTCTGCTACTAATAGCTGAGCGATGCCTTCCCATGCACTCGAGCACGAAGTCAGCCCATGAATAAGCAGAGCTTTCTTGGGAGCAGTGGGAGAACCCCACTGGGACGCTGAAATCGACGGGTACATACTAATATGGAATTCTGCTAGCAGAGCCCGTGTTGTGAAGAGGTTCGGGGTTCAAGTCTGACCTCCAAGATCGAGGAAGGAGTTGGTCAGGGAAGTAGCATTAGTGAAAAGTGTGCGTTTAAAGGGCGTACAGCACATACTGACCAGAATAGCATATGACTCTCAGACAAGGGCTTATCCCAAGAGATGCCACGAATAACCCCATCATCAAAAGAAAGCGCCCTGCGGCTGATGGCAAACCGATTCCGGTGATATGACGTGTCTGCTTATGTAAATGTGAGAGCTATTGGGGTCAACTCAGGTAAGTGAAGGAAAAATTGATCTCACCACTCTCACAACAGGATCATTTGTCCGCTTCACAGGGAGTGTGCCAGACGGGTAACCCTGCAAGTTGGCCCAATAAGGTCTCTGACCAAGGGACAACTCTATTCCAATTGGCAAGACGACCTGGGTGAGCTCCACAATTAAACCCGTGCGTTGCAGGTAAGAATTTTAGTTGTGAGATCTGGCATAGATGACGAATCCCAGGCCACACTTCGACTTTTCATACCTCCCGGTGGTGGCTCCTGGCAATGAATGCCAAAAACATGATGGGCTTAGACATGGGTTGTCCGATGGTATCTGATAGTGTTATTATTGACACTGTGCTACAGCTTTTTCTCTCACATGTACGTATCATGCTACATCATTCCATGCATGAACTCGCTGGCGAAAGCAAACACAAGGTTAAGCATTCTGACTCGGAAGGCAAGAGGAAGAACCCAGCTCACTCTAGGCTCACCCATTCCCTCCATAAATATGTCCCATAATGTCACAGCACCGTGATGTGAAACAGGCGCAACGTTGAGAGTCGGTGATTGTAAACACGGCCTGATTTCCGTCATCAATACTTCAAGTCGTCTGAGGTCCGCACGTCTAGAATTCCCTAGGCAGCAAGAGCATTCGGGCGGTTCCTCCCTACCTCGGTGCAGGGGATTGTCGATAAGTTCTGCGGTAGCGGCGTTATACCAGCTATCACTGCAGGTGACATGGTTATAATGGTGAGTGAGATCAATTTTATAGTTGTAATCAAAGATACAATGCTATCGAGTCGAAAGTGCCCCACAGCACGGCCTCTCTCAGGAAACGGAAAGCGTTCCAAGGTAGCGGGTCGTGGTACTTCTTGACATGGACCCATAGACTTGATGAAGTTGAGCTACAGCGGTGGCAAGGGACCATGGCACCTTTCTTTCAAGGTTGAGACTGACACATTGGCATAATTGGACTACTGCATGCCTTGCAACACCCCATGCACGAACGAAGGCCAGGTTCCAACAAAAAGTCACAGACACAAACTAGGCCACAAAACACTGCATCTCCTTCACACGGTTCAAAGCTTCGCTCTCGGTGGTTGGATTGCATCCATGATAATATCTGGACGCTCCCACTGAATGCAGTGGCCGATGCCTGGAAGGACCCTGACATTCAGTCTCTCAACGTCACAAGGGACATGTTCTAGAAGACAAACAGCCCCGAACATCGGATCTGACACCAGCACGGTGATCTTCACGTGAGGGGGGATGTTTTTGAACAGGCCACTGAAAGACCATGGCCTGTTATGCTATTCACAACAACGACAAAGGTGTCAGCAACATTCGGCATGTCCATAGTTGCAATATTACCGAGAAGACTCCCTCGATGGTGGTGCGGTCGCACATTGTAAATCCTAGTACGCGTAACACGCAGTCACGTTGTGACCAACCAAAGTCATCAGCCAGCTCCTCGGTGGTTTTGACATTCGCGATTTCATCCAGAAACCAACTTTTATAGATTTCGGCTGTACTTTCAATATCGAGAGGGGGGTCGACGAGTATGACAGTGGCTTCCTTCGTTTTGGGCAAGAATTGCAAGAGCGAAAGGGCGACTATGCCTCCAAGAGAATGACCTACAACCACGTCGTAGGACATGTCATTGATGAAGTATAGTCGGAGGTCCTCTGCAAGGGCAGACATGCGGAAGTCGGTGCCCGTCTCCATGCATGCCCAAGGAGATTCGGAGCCACGACAAAGAATCCTGTGAAAGCTTGTTAAAAACGAGCATGATTGTCATAGTATCACAAAACCTGACCTTCTGCTACTAATAGCTGAGCGACACCTTCCCATGAACTCGAGCACGCAGTCAACCCATGAATAAGCAGAGCTTTCTTCTGGGAGCAGTGGGAGAACCCCACTGGGACGCTGAAATCGACGGATACATACTGATATGGAATTCTGCTAGCAGAGCCCGTATGAGCGAAGATGTTCAGAATTCAAGTCTGACTTCCAAGATCAAAGGAGAAGTTAGAAAGGGATGTAGCATGCAGGGAAAAGTGTGCGTTTAAAGTGCGTACAACACATACTGACCGCAATAGTCATATGACGCTGAGGCAAGGGCTTATTCCTCTGTTAAGGGATGCCACGAACAAGCCCTTCATCACAGGAAAGCGCCCTGCGGGTGACAGCAAACCGGTTGCAGTGATATGACGTGTCTGCTTAAATACGAAAACCGCTGGGGTCAACTCGGATAAATGAAGGAAGGTATGATCTCACCACTCTCGAAATAGTATCATAAGTCCGCTTCACAGGGAGTGCCAGAGACGCAGCCCGGACTAGCCCCAGCTTGTACCTTAGCCCTGCAAAAAAATTACATCTCCTCTTACCTTCTAACAGTCTGCCGAAACGGATAGCTACGCCATCAAAATGCCACTCAGAGGTCGTCGTTGGGTCAAGAAAATGACTGTATAGTCGCAGTTCGGTGTGAACTTTAAATGACTCTGATACCAGCAAACACTTCTCATGACATATACACGATGACCCCCACCTGGAGTCATGGATATGATATTACTGGCCCTTCCACTACAACGACAAGTCATATTGCTGCTTGCACACTATGTTTGCACATTCACCTTGATGCAAATTGCGTCATCTGAAGGATACATCGGAACTAATAAACATATCGTGCCGTCTTCATGGTCTTGACACCACCATCAAGCTGTGTGTAGTTGCCCATGTGCGAGGGGCCGAGATGTCGAACCAAGGACAGTATGCATATTGAGATACGGAGAGGGAATTATTCAGGGTACGGTTAGGTTAGGTGTAGTCTGACTGGTGGGTGGAGACTAGAGCAATCTGGTCTCAGCGTACAGTCCAGCGGGAAAACGATGCTAATAAAAGAACCACCTTCCTCCCAGTTTGAGAAGCGATGTTCACTTATTAAAACTGTCGATAAAGTGATGCACGTCTGCGGGATTCCCTTTCCGCCACAATCATATCCCATCGGTGTCAAGAACGACTCCATTCTCGAGTCTCTGTCAATCCTCTGCTATCCATTCTATTGGATAGTTCGCAGAGCACACAGATCGAGTGGACCTTGATGGTTTCATCGCTACTGGTGCCAGAAAGAGGTGTCTTGACGGCTATGAGGTCGAGAAGCGAACGGCACTCTGGCAGGCTACTACAAGTGCAGGATATCAATATATCATCTATGATCGGTATCGCGAACATTATACAAGGAAATTTCAGTTGTAACGTTTCTCACTCACTCGTGCCCTCCAGAGTCTGGTCTTCACTCCATCCACAGCAGTCGATGGTGAGGCCTGCTCCGCCAAACACGAGGATTGAAAGCCTGCCAACGCAAATGGTTCATTTCTCAAGGTGTCAGTTTATGTAGGTATCATAGGTAAATAAACTACACACCTGTCTTTCCAGAAACACAGTTTCCACGTGCAGAGCACTGATCTCGGGGGTTGATAGAGATGAACACTGCGTGATAAGATGACACTGCACGTCGGGACGCGCCCGAACTTGAAGGTACCTGCGTCCTCGTCGACCGAGAATGCTGCTAGTTGTCAGTCGTCCGCTTCGTTAACCGCAGCGTACCAAACAGCCTT